GTTTATCAGTCAGCCCCGATTTCCTGTCTTTGTTCCTAGTAAATAACTGTCTCTGTTTTGTTGCTAAGGATGACTTGTTTTAATGTTTGTGTGAGTTGCTGGAGTTATAATTCTACAGGCTTAAGTTCCCGCCCTTGGGGTCTCCAGAAGTTAAATCTTGGAGAGGAATAGATGGCTGGATGCCTCTTGTCTAAAGTGCACACATGCCTATTTACCAATGTACAATGCATGAACACTAAGGCATGACACAGAGTATAGCTTTGCTGTTTCATAAACTGCAGGTACTGAGCTGTTGATGATAGTCTTCTATAGTGCAATGATTATTTGTTTAGAAAACTTATACACTGTCTTTCCAATGCAATTGCTTTGCTCAGGGCTGCGTACAATTAAAAATAAAATGATCCTACAAAAGAAACAAAGCAGCAGTATAAAAATGGAAACAGGCTCAACAAATGCAAACCTTCTAAAATGAGGGTCTCCTACTTTTTAATTTTTTTATTTAAAAAATCTGCCTGGTAATGTTTTTAACCAGTTAGTACAATTGCTAATTGAGAGCTAGTGGCCTTGCCCATCTCTGTCTGGCTTTAGATTCACTCTACTAACCTTCATCCATCCCATAACCACCTTCAGACATTTGGTTCAGGACATCAACAGCTTCCCTCGTATCAGAGAAAAAGTAGATATTATGTTTCCTTAGAATTTCTTAATAAACACAAACACCTAGCTTTTTAAAAAAAAAGTAAGTGAAAAACAGGCTATTATACACATAATGAAGACACACTTATATGTGGAGTTACCTTATTTTTACAATTTCATATTTGCTGTATCTCACTGATTTAGCCAAAGTATAATCAGATCATACAAGTAAAATGTATATGAAATGTTCTATTAATATTTAAATGGTGTGACTGCTCTTAGTGTTGCCATCGTTAAGCACGAAGAGCCACAATATACCCATAATGAGGTCTTTTAAGTTTTACAGTGTGAGAGGTGAAAGGGTATGAGGGAAAACCAATTACTGTACTCTGTGAACAGATTCATTCTCCAGCTGCATTTGTTCCTCAAAGCCACTTGGTGGCGCTTCAAGCTTAATGTGTACCAACGAGTAAAGGCCTTGGGCAATTCCTGTAATTCAAGAAGAAGCCCCAAACAAGATGCATTGATGTGGATTTCATCTTGTCTTGAGAAATGCTCTAAGAAGCAGGAAAGAGAAGATCTGACAGGTAGCAAAATACAGGCATCTCATTTGCTCTTAGCACACGGAAGTTGCTAGGCAATAGGAAAAGGTCTAGGACCACGAAACAAATTTGCCACTGGCAAATTAAAGATGGCATGTGGCTGGGATCTCAGTAGCACTGCATTCTGCAGCACATTCAGTCACCCTGGGTGAGTACAGTTTACAGAAACTGGTTAATAGGGGGGGCGAGCTAGGTTCCACCCCCAAAACACATCTGACTACTCACCTGATTTTGCTACCACCAGTAGCTTACAGAAGCAAAATGCAGAGGTTCTCACAAGGAGCAACTTTTTATTCAGCAGCCTTCTTTGACTATTTTTTACCCAGAAAGAATGGAAGAAAAATGTCACGTCATTCGGCCCTTTTCTCAGCTGGTGTCACAAAGCACATTGCAGTTTTCGGTGGTAAAAAGCGGTAGAATTCCAGACTATATCTCTTCAAACAGTGTGGAGTCATCTTATTTATAGCCATCTATGTACACGGTAGGGACGCGGGTGGCGCTGTGGGTTAAACCACAGAGCCTAGGGCTTGCCGATCAGAAGGTCAGTGGTTTGAATCCTCGCAACGGGGTGAGCTCCCGTTGCTTGGTCCCTGCTCCTGCCAACCTAGCAGTTCGAAAGCACGTCAAAGTGCAAGTAGATAAATAGGTACCGCTCCAGCGGGAAGGTAAATGGCGTTTCCGTGCGCTGCTCTGGTTCACCAGAAGCTGCTTAGTCATGCTGGCCACATGACCTGGAAGCTGTCTGCGGACAAACTCCGGCTTCCTCGGCCAATAAAGTGAGATGAGCGCCACAACCCCACAGTTGGTCATGACTGGACCTAATGGTCAGGGGACCCTTTACCTTTACCTATGTATACAGTACTTTGGAAAAAAACAGGCATTTAACATTCCCATCTTTCCCAAGTTCAAGGTGGCTTACAAAAGTGACAAAATCACATTGGAACACAATATGAAAAACAAACAAGTACCCAACAACTAGCTGCTGAAACTAAGTAAGAGTGTAACAAAAGCTCTGCTGGATCAGGCCAAAGCTCCACCTAGACCAGAATCCTGATCTCATTCTCATAGTAGCTGATGCCTATCAGGAATTAAGTGCAACAACACTCACACCAATTCCCAGTAATTGGTATTACAGTCTCCAACAATGAAAGTGAAACATAGCCATCATGATAGCCTCATCCTCCGTTAATTTGAAAAATTCTCCCAAAAGCTAGCAAATGGGGGGGGGGCTATTGATATTTTGTTTTATTAACCACCTTCACCACCCTAAAGTTCCAAAGTAAATAACAGCATTTTAAAACACAACTATAAAAACGGTTTAAAATAAATTACCAATCAGAATAATAGGGTGGGTCCTAAATGTGTGTGTGTTCTCTAGTTGTAAAGAGCTGCATCTTCAGATTACCACAAAAATTGTATAATTCCTCTCGGGGGGGGGGGCAAATTGCAAAACTAGGAGGCTGCCAGAGAATGCTCTCTCCTGGACCATTCCCCCGCCCCCCGAGGGCAGTGGAAATAGCAAGAGGGCCTCCTCTGTTGATCTTAACACCTAAAATGGTATGAATTAGCCCCAGAAGTCAACTGCCAACCAATGCAGCTGTTTTAAAACTGAGGTTAGATGACTTCTAAATGAAAACCTAGCCAGTAATCTGCATTTTGGAACAGTTGAGGTTTCTAAATAGTCTTCAAGGGCAGCCCCACGCAGGACACATTGCAGCAATCCAGTCTGGAAGTTACATGGCATGAGTGGAGAGAGGTACCATCCCACAGCCTTTGAATGCCCTCTTCCACATGAGCCTGCTGGTAAATCCCCCATCATCTTTAGAAACCCTTCTCTGATTGTCCTTGGCTCTCTCAGAGATCAGGCAGCTGGCAACTGTGACGCTTGCTTTTGTGTTTTGTGGCTTGTGGTGCTTGCTTTTATGTTTTGTGGCTCACTCGACACCCACTCTTATGTCATTCCAATGTTAAGTAAACACAAAGGCCGTTACCTCATTTTCCAAGGCCTTTTCGGATACTGTTTAAATATTTTTTACTTTATTTCTCTGACATTTATGTTTTTAGTGCTCTGCTGTTCATATTGTTTGAGACATCATTTTATTTTTTAAAGAAACCTTTTGTATATGATAGCTAGCCATCCTGGGAGGAGCAGTTCTAAACAGTGTGGTCTGATTTATTTAAAACAAACTGCTGTAAAGGCCCTGACAGAACAGACCTTGCTGATACTTAGGAACATAGGAAGCTGCCTTATCAGAGCATTAGTGCCATCAAGCTCACTGTTTGTGCACTGACCGATAGTAGCAATGCAGAGTTTCAGATGGGGTCTGTTCCATCCCTACTTAGAGGTGCTGAGGTTTGAAACTGAGACAAAACAGATGCTCTAGCATTGAGCATGCTCCTGTTTTAGTTGGAAATGGTTAGGCATAGTTTTTTTTTAATTTTTTTATTATACTGATTTTAAGATGTCATTGGCAAATCTTTATCTGGAAAGGTAGCATGTAATTCTTGAACATAAATGTACTAAATATAATTTCCTATAGTAGAGATTATAAGGGTTGTTTTTAGATGGGAGTAGCAGGTGTGCAAATGTGAAAAATAATACAGAACATATAATATGAATATGAACATTCAATAACTAATCCCTGAAGTATTGCCTTGATGATTTTAAGTGTGTGTGGTAGTAACTGTGTTTTGATCATTTTGAAAGTGATTTGAAGATTTTAGCAATTTGTACAATAAAACCCTGATGTTTCTACCTATTGCGATAAGAGTATAAATCATTACTATTCCCAAAGGAGTCTAAAACTGGTATGTTTATTCACTGAAAACAGAAAGAGCAAGGTTGAGCAGGAGGAGGGAGAATTCATTCTTCTTCTTCTTCTGGTGAGCCACATTTAATGTTCCAGCAGTGAATTACTGCCTCCCCTCCCCACACCCCTGACTTTAACCTGTGAGAGTTTCTTCCTGAGAGAGGAGGCGGAGGAAGAGGAGGAGGAGGAAGGTGGCTGGAGGAGAGTGAAGAGCTCCCCAGCACTATTTGCAGGTGCTCTCAAGAGGCGGAGGAGGCCGAGAAGAGAGGAGGAGGACGAGGAGGCCATTAGGCTAGTAGCCGTGTTTCCTCATGATCATCAGAAACTCCTGCTCGCTCACTTCCCCGTCTCCATTCAGGTCCGCTTCGGTGATCATTTCCTGCAGTTCCTCGTCCGTCAGCTTCTCCCCAATCTCGGAGGCGACGCGCTTGAGGTCTTTAAAGGCGATCTTGCCCCTTTCCGGGTCCTCGAACAGCTTGAAGGATTTCAGGATCTCCTCTTTGGGATCCGTTTCGGACATCTTCTTGGTCATCACGGAGTAAAAAGCGTCGAAGCCGATCTTCCCCGAGCCTTCTTTATCCACTTCTCCCACGATCCTCTTGATCTCTTCTCTGGTGGGTTCAAAGCCCAGGGCCCGAATGGACACCTTCAGGTCTTTCACGTCGATGGTCCCGGTGCCGTCGGAATCCAGCAGGTCGAAGGCATCGCGCATCTGCTGCTTTTGAGCGGGGCTGAGCTCAAGCTTCGGGCCTTTCTTCTTCCTCTGGGACCACTTGCTCCTATAAGCCATCCTTCGGGGCCCTCAAGGCAGCGCCCTCCGGGCTCCTCAAGCCGTTCTGCCCGTTGCTACTGGCTGCTCCCCGCAAACGCCCGGAGGGAGAATGCTTCTGCCTAAGGGGAGAAAACAGTTGAAGGTTGCCATGGCAGGGAGGATCATGGATGCCAGAGACCGGAAGTAGTAGAGGGACGGACTACATTTCCCAGCATGCTCCTCGAGGAGGCGGGGCAAGAATGAGCTGATCGCTGCTGTTGGGAGACATTTAACAGGAGAAGCCTGAGCCTTGGGCAATAAAAGGTGAGCGAACCTGTCACTGAAGGTAGGAGCGGGGAACAACTTGTGCTGTTTGTTATGTTTTGTTATTCGGGAAATGAGGCGGAAGGTCAGCTGTCCTTCGGCGCCGCCAGCCTTCTAGGCCGTGCTTAGGGATGACGCTTTGCTCTCAAAAAGTTGGAGGAGAAAAAACATTGTATTGTTATTTTTGTCCTTGCAGCTGTCAGGTTCTGTCTGTAATTGAGGGAATTGGGACCAGATATGTGTTACTGGGAAGGCTCGCCCCCGATCCCCACCCCAAGAGTGTGTAATAATAGATGCCTAGTAATAATGGGTGGTTGTATAGCGTTGTGTACTGGAAACAGGAAATCACTGGCGCTGAGGCTGGCTTTGCAAAGCTTATCTATCTGTGAGTGAGGATGGGGTGAGTGTAAATAAAAGTTGTTGGGAAGTTTTGAATTGCTTGTTTAGCTGTTCGCCAGGGGTGCGTGCTGTCGCACTTGTCAGGTCACAACAGACGTCTAAGAAAGGAAATGACAGGTGCTGTTAAGTGCAGGGAAATAGCAATGGGATGGGCTAGAAAAAGTGGAATTTAACGGAGGACTGGTGTACGAGTGAATTCAGTGTATATCAGCAGTTACTCCAATACAGTCTTTTAAAACCACTTGTTTGAACTTCCTGATCAGGCTGGCGAAAGTAAGGTGACACGATTAACCCCCATCCGTCCAAATCCCTTTTCTTGCTAATGACACCTCTCATCCACTTTGAAGACGAGAGTACAAAATCTAGACTAGAGGATATGACCCATTTAGGCTGCAATTCTGTGCATGCATATATGGGAGTAAGCCCCTCTGAACCCAGTGGCATGAGCGTAGCCAGGATTGGGGGGGGGTTGCTTTTGTTAGTGGGGGCAGGACTATGTATTTTAATTTATTTTTATTGATTTAGGGGGGCAGCTGCCCCTCTCTGCCTCCCCCAGCTACGCCCATGCCTAGTAGTACTTACTTCTGTGTCAGCATTGGGTTACGAATCGTTAACCCCCCTAAGTATAATGATTTCGGAGCAAGCCCCATTGACTTCTTTGGGGTCGGGCTTAAAAACATTCAGGACAGGTCACGCGAGCTAAGTAATAGGGCCGCATTTTTTATATACAGGGAGATGAACCTACACCAGACTTGAGCGAAAGGAGGGTAGTAAACACCCCTTTCCATGGCGCCTTTGGCACAACCCTTTACTCCCAATTCCATACTGTAACTGGGAAAAAAATAGTTTATTATTCCCCGTTGATCTTTCCTCCCCTTCCTGTTCCTTGCCTCGCGTCTTTCATATTGTAAGCCTCTCGGGGCAGGGACCTGTCTTCTTTCCAAAGCTGACATTATATAAATCACTAAAGATTAAACCGGCAAGTTGTGTGCTGTAGAAGGGTGAAGCCGGGGCACTGTATGGAATGACAATCCAGGGTGGACTTTGGGTTTAGTTAGTTCACATATTTCTTTTCCACCACCACCCCAGAGTGGAACCAAAATAGGCAAGCCTCAAAACCACAGGAGTACGCCCCATTATTATTATTATTATTCCTTCACTTCGGGCTGTTTTGCGAGGGAGCGAACACCGTCGCCTCCACGACTCCTTCCCGAGGCGACCGAGGGGCGACTGTGGCCAAGGGGAGCCCATCGTCTCGGGGGCGGGCTGTGAGGGGAGCCGCAAAGGCCCGGCCTGGCTTTCCTGCCTCTCCTTGGCTGAAGGGGGCGGAGGCAGCCGCGGCCCTCGCGTCCCCTCCGCCACCGCCTCCTTCGCCAGACCCCCGTTATGTCCTGCGTTCACTCGGTTACAGGGAACTCCTGGGCGAAGGGAAGAAGCGGCGGCGGCGGCGGCGGCGGCAGCGCGATTCCGGCGGCCGACGCGACAAGGGGCCCATCGGAGGGAAGAGGCGGGACATGGCGGAGACGGAGGAGAGAGGCGGCGGCGGCTCGCTGCACGAGACGCGCTTCGAGGCGGCCGTCAAGGTGATCCAGAGCCTGCCCAAAAACGGTGAGTGAAGCCCGGGAGGAGCGAGGAGACGGTTCGAGGGCCAGGAACCGGGAAGGTGGGGCAGCGAAGGCGACAGAGACCCCGAGGAGAGGGTGGGAAGCGCCGCCTCATTTCTGCGCCTCTCCGCGGGGCGAGGAGAAGGGTCCCCCGGAATTGGGGTTTTTCTCCATCCCAGCCCCGCCACACCCACAGGAGCCACTGCGAAAGACCTGCATCTTTTCTCTCCCTCCGCCACCCCCCTGCCTTCTCCTGCCAACCAGCTCTATTATGAATTCACTGGCCAATCTTGAAATTTTGCCATTTAAAAGACGGTTAAAACTGTTTGGAAAAACCGGCACAATATATTGGGGAATGGCCTTTCCTGGCAAAAGCATTTCTTTAGCAAAGAACTCTAGTGCTCCTGGCTCTTTTTTTCCTACCTAGGCAACCATTTTAACTTGTTTACCTTATTATTTGGAGGATTTGTATTCCACCCCTTGGGCAAGTTGACTGGCAGAACAGCTAGCATAAGATTTCTCTAAAAGTCTTTATGGTACAGTAGTTGGTTATTCAAAAGCAGCAGGGGGAAGAACCTGTAGTCGGATAAAAAGGCATGCATGCAATACCAAGAATCTAAAAGCAGGGAAGGTTTTCCCTTAGCACTGGTAAGGAGCAGTTGGAGCCAGTCAAACGTCTCTGGAAAGTACATTCTGGCTACGGCAACTCAGAAGGCCTTATCGTAGGCCTCTTCCCACCTTGCCTGCTAAAGGTATCAGACAAATTTTAATGGCCTGTTGGGTTGCTGAGGGAATAGGTGGTCCTTGCAGTTCTATGCATCCCTACTCTGAAGCCAAATTTGAGTACTTATACACACTTAATGTGTATACAGTATAGAACTGCTGCCTTGATGCTCTTTGTGCATATTAAGTTCCATACAACAATTGTTCCTCTCCCCAAAATGAAACATTCAGCAATCTCTGTGTGTAATCCTGATACGTAGTTTAATATTTACAATGAAAAGTTGATAAACTTAAATTGAGAGCAGGACTAACAATAGTATGTCCAAAAAGAAAAGCTTCCATCTCTATATAAGAGAGCCAAATACTCAGCCAACTCTGCTCCAGAGGTTTTTTTAATGCCTTCAACTATTTTCTTTTTTTAAAAAAACAACAACCACCATGCTATCCCAAGCACTGCAAGCAAGGAGGGGTTTTTGCCTTGAGCGTGTTATGTTCATACTTGATTTTGCGTTGGTAACAGCTTGTGGGTGTAAATGGTGTGATTTTCAAATCCCTTCTCTTTCCCACCCCACCCTTCTGTGAAATTGGCGGAGTCGCATAACACTGGAAAACTTAAGCTGCATTCGCTTCATACTTAAGAATGGTGTGAACATTTGAGACAGCCGTTGCACATGTGCAGATGACAGTTTCATGAATAGGAGCTTGGGGGATGGGATTGCAGGGATGGGGAAATCAAAATGGCCATGCACACATTTAGTGAATACACCCTGCTCTAATGTTAACAACACTATGCAAATGTGGCCTGAAGCACAGTGGGAAATGACCTCACTGTGTTTTAAGTCGCCAATATGAACATACCCATAATACTAGAAAATGAGAGGTGTCCTTCATAGTGTGCATGTTAAATACTTTCCTGTCTCACTTTAGTAACAGAATCTTTAAAAAAATGTATCAATCTAAAATTTTGAGCTTGTGCAAGTTCCATTCTAAGAGCTAAGGATAGGCTGGTGGTCAGACACACCAGCCATGTATAAAGTGGGAGCATAAGCTGTCAAGAAATCTTCTCCTTACCTGGTTTTCAGTAGGGCAGATAGTATTGGGAGCAGGGCCTATGATAGAAACTGTTTGATAACCTAACCATCGATTTAGGTAACCATAGTGGGGTAAAATGACTTTGGGGGGTTTTTGTCACAGGAGGATCTGCTGTGGTATTTTGATCCTTGACAGGGCTTTGAATTTCCATAGCTTTTTTCCAGTACTGCAGTATGTCTTCAACACAGGATGTGTGTGAGCTGCACCACAGTAGGGACAATTCTACCATAAAGCTAGCATGAGAAGTATCAGCAGTCATGTTTTTTCTCTTTGTTTGGACACATTACTTTCATTAATAGGAGAATCAGCAACAGGGATGATATCATTACTTGAAATATAAAGGTGACTATGTTCCTTTGCACAAGTATACTTTACTCACTAGAGTATCCTTTCTGATTATAGAATGAAAATAAACATAGAAGGTGCAATCAGTTGATTTTTTAAAATCAGAAATTGGTGTGCATAAAGTCTTGAGTTTAGTCATTGTTATGGGTGTACTTAGTTCCTAATAGCCTGGTGCTGTAAGTCATGCAGTCATATTCTATTTATTTTGGACTGGATCTTTAACTTTGGACTGGATGCCTTAACTTAAGTTAGTTGAACTTTGGTCTCATTGAATTCAGTGCGAACAATAAGTCATGGTTTAAGTTATGGCCCCTTGATTTCAATGGAACTTCAGTTAAATTAACCAAGTGTGACTCTAACCCTTTGAGTTGGTACAGAAATAATGTGTTTAAAAATATCTGTCATTTATGGTGTTTCTCACTCTAAGATTATTTTCTCTAGGTTCATTCCAGCCAACAAATGAAATGATGCTCAAGTTCTATAGCTTTTATAAGCAAGCAACTCAAGGACCCTGCAGCAGTCCAAGACCTGGATTCTGGGATCCTATTGGTAGATACAAATGGTAAATATGATATGCAAGAGGTGTTTTAAGTTTCTATGTACACAAGCCCTGCTGTGGTGGGGGGCAGCAGGAAAGATGAATTACTGACTACTTTTTTTTTATGGGACACTGCTACAACTCACTGGTAGACCAAAGGGTTTGCATGCAGAACGTCCAGGTTCATTTTCCTACATCTCTAGGTAGGACTGGGAAAGACATCTCAAACTCCAAAGGGCCACAGCCAATCATGGTAGACAATATTGAGCTAGATGGACCAGTAGTGTGACACTGTATAAGGCAGCTTCCTGTGACATATGGAGCAAAGCCTTAGTTATAAAGAATATAAATGTGCACCAGATCACTGGTAGTAGGGGATGTTCTCAGCCTCTCTTTTAAAAAACCAAGGCCTGGTATCATTTCTGAGATTTATGTTCCAGGTATTTTACCTTTGTTACCTGGGGAATTGACATGTGCATCCTGCTCTGCCTAGCACGCCATGATTACCTGAGCACTGCCACCTTCCCAGCTATTTCTGTTTAAAATGTACCTAGTTCAGGAAAGAGCTCAGTAGCTGTGAGGGTGCAGGCAAGATTAAGATACAGATAATAATTGCGCAAAGAGACTTTCGGTACAGAAAATGTTTTTTTCTGAAACTTGAAGAAGGTTCATTGACCATTGTCTACCAGCAGACTGCAAACTGAATTTTTGCAGACTGTCTCTGCTCCTCATGCTCTTCTCCCACTATTGGGAAATATCTTAATAAAGATGGGGGCCATGTACATGTAAAATTGGTGGTCAAGCTGATGGAAGTGCAGTGTTGCCCCCATTCTTGTGCAGCATATTTTGGAGATGGAGGTATCTGGGTTAGACTCTGCAGTTTGGCTCTCCCTAACAGAGATGTTGTTGCCTGTAAGCACATGTAATGATTTCTCTCAGCTTAGAAGTTTCTTGTCAAACAAGTTCTGCATGTTTTTGAAGCTCAAGCGTTTTTACCCACTAGCTATAATAGGGCAGAAATAAAAAATATGTATATGTAAGAGGAATCTGTATTTTTTTTAGTGACTTTTGGGAAGTATTATAGAGCTATACACACCTCACTAAAAAACAATGACGAAAGGGTTGATATTTGTTTTTTCGTTGCTGTTATTCTCAGTGCAACCCTCCAGAGGTGTTTTTTAAAAAAAACTTGTGTTATAATTAATATCCACAGCAGATTAGCAAAGTACACTTTTTATTCAGGCAAAGGTTAAATCAAATTAGGTACTCATTCTTGCCTTTGGAAAGGGGAAATAATAGTAAAGAAAATAATAATAATAATAATAATAATACCAGGAAGTAAGGTATTGTGGGAAGAGTGCTGCATGGAGACATTGCAGTCTTGCTAACTAACATTTCTCTTAATATTTTTTTTAAGCTGCAGGAAATCACTTGCAGGGATATTTGGCTATTTTAAGAAGTAAACAAAACAAAACCCCAAATTCTAAAACTGTATTTTTGGGGGAAGCCAAAATAAGTCAGAGGAGTGTGTCAAAGGTCCTTGATACACCTGGAAGGTTTCTGTGACACTTGTGCAGCTATAGTGTACAGGAGAATAGGAAAATGCAGTTTGAGGCAGGGAATAGGTATCGGGCAATTGCATTTTTGCAGCAGCAGTGTTTTTTGCTCCAGAGCTGGATAATTGTGTCCGTCCTCCCACCCCCACCCCCCGGTGACTGCTGTGCTGTCTGTGACTTTCCCACACAGAGATTTGACTATGCACACAACAGACAAACTCATTTGAAAAGGCCATCTGGGTTATTGGATCCAGCTATTTATTTACTTGTTTCAGTTTTATATCTTTGACTTACCTGTTTCTCAAGCCTATTGCAAAGAGTTAGTACAAGTTATATATTCTGCAAAATGTTGTGCATTTTGAACTGGGCACGCAAGCCGAGTATAAATTACTCATAACTGTGGCCTACCGTCAGACAAAAAGTGAGAAGGAAAAGATGGAAACGAGGCCATTTATTAAATATTAAAAAGCACATTGTTTGAAGACTGAGCAACCAAGCCTATGTTAAATCTCAATCTCAGAATTTGTGTTACTCTACAGACAATGAGCACATATTTATGTACACAAAACTAGATAGATTGTAGCGGGTTCTGTCATTGTAGAATCAAGGGCTCAGTAAGAATGAGCCTGTTGAATCTTACAGGAATTATAATTTTAAATGTCTTGAGGATATTTGTGATATTTATTGTAGGGATGCATGGAGCGCTTTAGGTGATATGCCCAAAGAAGATGCTATGATTGCCTATGTTGAAGAAATGAAAAAGGTAAGAGTTGCTAGGTATGTCGAAGAAAGCAAATATTCCACAATAATTTCATTTCTAGGCACATGAAGCTTGAAACTTGATTAGCTTCTAGCCAAGCTTCAAAAGGAATTGCTGCAAATTAGTTGATGGACTTTACCCTAGGCAGCCTAGCTGTCAAAATGCTGAGAGCTTTAGGGATATTGCTGCCATGAAAGAGAAGTGAGCAATGCTTATGCAGTGCATTATGGAAGTTTATGGTAAGCAGCCTGCAGTGAATCACTGGAACTGGAGCTAATTCACAGCAAAAACAGAGATGGAGAGAGGCAATGGGCTGTGCAGGCTCTTTTAAAAACACTTGTACTGTAATATCAGTTGGAAGAGTTTCAGCTCTTCTGAGTATTTGTTAAAAGGAATGCATTACAAGAGTACTAGATGACTCAAAACTGAAACATGCAAAAAACTAAACCTTGGGTACTTGTATACAGCTTGCACCAAGATTTCCATTTTGCTGTGTATTTTCAATTATGTGGGGTTAGGGTAGATGGCAATACTCTTTATATATTGGAAATCAATAAAGCTATCAATCTATAAATACTTCATAATAGCTAACAAAAATAAAACACTGAAAACCTGCTTAGAGTACCAAGTCAGAATTCTGATTTAACATTTATGCTAATATTATAGTGAACAGTGAACCCTAGTGTTAAGGCCATTGGAGGGTGTAGGAAGGTTAACAGAGACGGCAATCCTCATATGGGGCGAAGGTGCTGGATTGAGGACATAAGGAAAGGAAATTTCTGATGGGGAGAAAGAAGAGAGCAGAAAGCACGGGGAAAGCATGTGTAGGATAGGAGAAGGAAGGAAGGGCCCATGAGCGATGAAGGGGTGCCCAGAAGAGGTGCTGCAACGGCCTGGCAAAGGATCTAGCTTGAGGCTGATGGAAGCTCATCAGTGAGATACTCATCAGAGGAGATTGCGGTGTGGATTACCCAGAGACTGAAGCCTAATAGGCTTGAATGTTAAGGTGTTGGCAAATTCTGATTAATTTTGAGATTTGCATGGGAGCTTTAAATATTCTTTAGGGCATTGCGCAGTTTATATTTAACTTCAACATGTGATTTGGTAGTATCCCAAAGCACATAATAAAAAGAAAATAATCCACTGTGTTGTTGTTTTTTGCCATGGCAAATATATTACTATTTCTTCATATCTGAATCATGTCATCCACTTACTTTTGGTAATCAGTATTGCTACTCTGAAGTAAGTAGGCTGGGTATTAGAGTAAGCTGGTTAGAATAGAAATTGAGTAGGCTTGAGCCTAAAATGAAAAGAAACCATACTATACTTAAACTACTAAATGTAATTTGGGGCGTTGTTAGGATTAATCTAATACCACATGTGTTGAAGGAGCTTCTGATGAAATAGTTCCAGTTAATGTGTTAAATGTTTCCAAATTAGTGTTGCTACAATATTATATATTGCCTAATGTTTTCTTTTGGGAAAGCATCTTTCATGCATAGATTTAACAGGCTTAAGCAAGATAAACCTGAACCTCTGCCTTCCTTTCTGAGAGTAGTAGATAATAGAATGGAAGACAGCAAGAAAATATATCAGAATACTCTTATCTGCTGATGAATTTAGTTTCTCTGTATTTCCTGTAGTGCCTGTTTTGTGGCGCCTTTATTCTGATAAATGTATTCATTTTGTAAAAGAGTTATAAATTATGAAAGAATATGCTAAGAAAATGTTGTAATATTTTTATTCTCAAACAAAATCTGCTTTTGGCACAAAACCATGTGCCGAGTTACTTGAAAGTAAGTCCTACATTTGGTGGAACTTGCTTGTGAGTAAACAAGGATGGAATTTGGTATTTAAGTTGTTTAACATGTTTGAGCCTAGAAGTTTTTTGGATAAGCTCTTTGCTGTAGTGGCAAACATGATTCACCATGCAGAGTTATTGGGAGAAATAACAGGAGTTTTGTTGTAGTAGTATTATCTTTCTCATTTTCTTCAAAGGAAATTTATTTTAAAAATTATGAGTGTAGCTTCCTTAGCCAGTAATCTGCATTCTGGCTTAGTATTCATATCCTTTACACAAACACATAAAAATGACAAATCAAGCCTGTTTATATTTGTGAGATTGGGCTGAATATATATAAAGAGAGGCAGTGATATTTGATAATGACATTTATTTATTTAAGGATTTATAAACTGCTTCCCAATGAATGTTTCTAAAGTAGTGCAATGTAGAAATACCAAAAGAACAACACATATAGTAAAAATTAAGTAGACTTAGCAATCTATAAAACACTATCTTAAAAAGCACTAAATTACAAGGTTCTGCATAGTATAAAGAATCAGTCATCAGGGAAAGGCTTCTTAAATCGATACGTTTTCAAACAGCTGCCTAAAAGCTAAAATGCTAGTTGCTTGACTAAGTTCACTGGGAAGCTGATTCCATGGAGCTGCAATCAAAATACTAAATGCTTGGTTTGATGCCAGACATACCTATGGGGCATACAGAACAACACCCTATCAGAGCAGAGGAACAGTTCTCAGGCAGACAGCTGTATGGGGCAAAGCAGTACCTCAGGTAAAGTTGATGTTGCGATTAAAGGTTTTCAAAATCATCTTCTCTGGCAATCACTTGTACCCGAGTAAGATTGCCTTCCATGAACATGGTCTTCTTAACAGTGAGTTCATTAGTGACTGTGGAGGCCAATTCTGGATCCACACATCCTTCCACAATGGGGACATAGGTTTCCGTGCGGGAGTTGATCGCAGTGAGGGTTTGCCGAACATGCCTTCCTCTTAGCACGTTTCTCCCTTTCATCCTGAGTTTGAGCATCTTCAAAGTCCATGATGCCTTTGGTAAGGCTGTTCTCCAGTTGGAGCGCTTGCAGGCCAGTGTAGGTGGTGCAGGATTTTATTTATTTATTGTGATGCTGTGTTCTTGTGAAGTATTGCATTATTAACTGATAAGCAATTCATAAATGTTTTGTATTCCTACAGATTCTTGAAACTATGCCAATGACAGACAAGGTTGAAGAACTCCTACATGTACTAGGCCCATTCTATGAAATTGTTGAGGATAAAAAGAGCAGAGGATCTGCCATAATAGCAGGTTGGGATATAAACTCTACTTATCTTAATTAACTGCAGGTTATATTAAGCTATGGTTTTGCAATTTGTTCAGCTTCTGTGAATAATTTTAATGGTAAATGCACTAATTGTTGCGAAGCACCTCAGAGCCAGGAGCAAGAAAGCTCTTGCACAAAACACTCTCCATTTTCCTGACATGCTCTAACTTCCATGCAAACGTGTTGCAAGTCTGTCTTGCCACAGCTTTCATAATATTAAAACACCTGCATGTCCTCAATTAATCCTGTTGGCTTAAGGTTGGCTGGTTTCACATAAATCACAATGAAGGTTAACCTGTTTCTTGGTTTGGACACTTCAACAACCCATGGTTACTCAAACTGGAAGCAAAAGCTTCTGAGCTGGTGGAATGCACAAGGCCATGGTTCTGGGGCTCATTCACATCAGTGTTTAGTGTAGGGTGTGAGAAACCTAAGGCTTGTTGTTGGAGTCAAAATTCCATAAATCCCAGCCATTTTGGCCAGTGGCGATGGGGGGGTGCTGTTGTTTTGCTTGTTTATCTAAAACACACATATCAGTGATATGGAACCTTCGGCCCACATATCTAATGTGGACAGCCAGGCCTTCCCATTTGGCTCCCAGTGCTATTTCAGCAAAGCCATGCCTACCTGTCCCACACCTTACCAGATGTGGGGCAGGTAAAGGTGGGACTTGGTCAAAAGGGCAGTGCCTGCAGAAGCCTTTGCATAGTAGTTTTCCCCAAGGACCCAACAACCAGCAGATTGTCAGATGTTTGGGAGCTGCTGCACAAAGCACTTTGCAAACCGTGTGCTCAGCCAAGCTCTGTGCTCGACCTGCTTAGGAAGCGCTGCAAAAGTGGCTCTGCAAGTTCTTTTTGCATTTCCCACCCGAAAAGGCAGCAAGTTTTTCCCAAAGCACTTCCTCCAGCCCTTTGAATAGAAACTGCATTCTTGGCAGAGGGGAAGATGCTCCAGTCTTAGGAGCATTTCGTTCTCTGCAGAGACATCGAAGGGTCTCCATCTAGCCAACTGTTAGCTGATCATTGGTGAAAGAGCACATCTTCAAAGGCTGCACTACAGTAACCTTTTAATTTTAACAGGCGTCTATCACTTGATGCCATTATAATGTTAGATGATTGACAGATGGGTGCTCTCACTCACCTGTGAAAATGGCTCCCTAGTGGGTGAGGAGATAAAGATCCGGCCCACTGGGCTATTTCTGATTTATATTCTTTAGCCCAAAAAGGATCCCAGAGTAGTTCACAGAAATCAGTAGTGAAGTAATCCCTATTCTCAGATTTACAATCTAAAAGAGATGAGCGTATGAGGAAGAAGGGGTGGGCAGAGAAGAATAGAAAAAAGAAAGCTCAAACACCAGTCCAATAATAACTGGAGGACTTTAGGTTCCCCTTCCTTGGTTTAGTATGATGTCTGATCATCTCTTCTGTTGATCCTGGCTCCTCACTGCATGTACATGTAGCAAAATACATGTGCTTATCTATTTAGCGTATTCAAAGTACTGGCATGTCAAGTAGCCCTTACTGGTCAAGTGGTCAGTACTGAGCACCTCTGGCATGCTGGGCTCTGCACTTAAGGTACAACTGATGCAGTCTACAGCCAGAACTACATTATTATGCAAATAGCCTGACATCAATTGGTTTAAAATATTGACTCTGTGTATGTATTTTGTGTGTGTGTGTGTGTGTGTCTATATATATCTAGTAGGTTCTCTAAAATTACGTTTCTTGTCACTTGGCACAGAATGCCAACCACTACTGGCACATTTTAAAGACTTATTCCAGTCAAAGTACTACTCTTAAGAGGAAAAATAATAATTATGTAGCATGCAAATATTCACTGGCGTTAGCAACATTGCAGTGAGTTAGGCATAAATAGGTTCTCCACTATTTCTATTCCATTTTCATGCAAATGTGCAATAACAGATGTTAAAAATCCTTACCAATAACTGATTATTTTCTTGCAATGGACAAAATATAAGTGTCTTTGTTGCAACAAGCCAGCAGCAAAATTCAGAACACATGTACTTTGTGAATGCTAACATCCTGTGATTTTGGAACATGTGATGGCCTCAATTGATAGCCAAGTCTGGTATGACATTTTATTTTGTAGTCCATTTCTCCATTCCAATGGGTATTCTACTGTTTACCTCAGAACTGCTATACCACTTGAATATTTTGCTTACAAAATGTGCTTGAATCATTTCCCAGTTATGGTTTTTCTTATTGTAGATTTAATATGCATATCCTAAATTCATACAGGAAAATTCAGTATCAAACAGTGGAACCTCTATGTAAAGTATTTAGGTCAGTAGGAGAAGGAAAACAGGGGCTGCTATAACTGTTGTGGTGTATTAATAACTGGTATTACATACAATACTATACTATATATGCCTACGCATAAATAATTCCCATTGAGTTCAAAAGGACTTACTCCTGAGTAAGTGGGTATAGGATTATAGTCTTGGGTCCCACTAACATAGGACTTACTTCTGAGTAGACATATATAGCATTGCATTGTTAGTGGTCTTCTTGTTCTCCTTGTTCTGAATATGTCAGTTTTGTTACGTTTTCCTTACCAAAGTGCCGAACAACCTCATAGCTTTCTAGGTAATCTCTGTCTCATTTATTATTTTAAGGCATCTACTATAAATGTTCTAGATTGAAACCAAACTTTACTGTGCCAGGTTGATTTCTGACTGTTATAAACAATTTATACAGATAATTTATAGACTCTTCTTTTGGTTCTTATTATGCTAAATTTACAAAATGTACAAAACCTAGATACCAGAACAGAAAACTAAAAAAGGGAACATGTGAGATTAGTCTCTGTCTAGGAAAGCGTGAGGAGAGTTCTTTCATGGAGGCCCTTTGCTGCTAGAGAAAGAGCTAGCTCTGTTTGCATCGGGCATTTTTTAAAGTGCTTGTAAGGGCTGTAGTCTGCAGGTGCATCTCTTTTAAATGTATCCCTGTCCCACTGATGTGCAGAGTTGCGTGGTAGTCCTGATTTTAAAAAGCAAAAGGTGGTACTCATGTGGGACATGCTAAATCCACACCTACCCATGGTTGCCTCCTTGCAGAATATATCCCAAAGGCTGAGATAAAAGTTGAGCTGAAATTAAAGTGTGGGAAAGATAAACACTGGACATGCAAAGGGGAACCTATACTTGCATACTTGCTAAAGTAAGGTAAAGGACCCCTGACAGTTAAGTCCAGTCGCGAACAACTCTTGGGTTGCGGCGCTCATCTCGCTTTACTGGCCGAGGGAGCCGGCATTTGTCCACAGACAGTTTTTCCAGGTCATGTGGCCAGCATAACTAAACCGCTTCTGGCAAAACCAGAGCAGCGCATGGAAACACCGTTTACCTTCCCGACGGAGCGATACCTATTTATCTACTTGCACTTTTTGGGCGTGTTTCAAACTGCAAGGTCGGCAGGAGCAGGGACCGAGCAACGGGAGCTCACTCCGTTGCGGGGATTTGAACCGCTGACTTTCTGATTGGCAAGTCCTAGGCTCTGTGGTTTAACCCACAGCGCCACCCGCGTCCCATACATAGCCTACTGGTTACTTGCTGTTTAAATCAGATTCTCCCAGGCTAGTTTGGCCCTAAATTCCACACTGTTGCCCAGGCAGTAGAGTCCTGCTGACCCTGGAAACAAAACTGAAAACAAGATGACCAAAAAAGCAACAAAAGCTCCAACCAGTAATTGTATGGTCATGCAGAGTGGAGATCTCCATTATCATCTGTGTAGCCACAGGTGCTATCCAGTAGGTGCATTTGAGAGTTGCACCTTCACATACACAGCTTATCCTAGCAGCAGTGAAAACCCTACTTGCAAATTGAGCGTTCAGCTCTCTGTGATGGAGCTGTGACCTTGGGGGAAGACATAAGTATTTCCAAGAAGAATTAAAAAAATAAACAACATGTGCACAGCCTCATTTATGCTCGGCATAGGGACAGTGATGTATTTAATTGGGTCAGGTTTTGCTCATGAGAATCAGTATGCTTTTGAGAGGCACAAAAGTCTTCTAATTCCGGTGCAAAATAAATTTACAAAGCTAAACTTTTAGATAAAAAATAATGCTCTTAAGGGAAACATTTGAGGTGAGGTGTAAAAAAGTATGTGGAAGTTTAGAGGCTTGTTGATGCTTACAGACAGAACTTAATGCAACAGAAAGCATTATTTACCATGTTAAGTAATTTTTTTAAAGCCTCTTAACGAAAGCCAGTTATTTCAGTCTGCTGACATACCACAGAGGAATGAAATACTGCTCACAGTTTACATCCTTGGATTGCCATCTGTGGAACATGTGTGAGAGTGGACAAGAGAAGCTTAGGAAATTACTTTCTTGTTGCTAATGTTGTGAAGAGTTTGTTTTGAAGGCTTGGTGTGATGCACTTCTGTTTTCAAAGCAAAGGAGCGCAATCTGTTCTGCAAGGGACGAACCCACTCTTAACCAGTAGCTGACCAAAATATTATTTTCAGGTTCGTAAAAAACACTAGACTCGAAAGAAGAATGTGGCTTCTACATCCAGCGCAAGAGGCCTGGCCGGCCTGCATGAACTTAGGGTAGGCTTGGAAGAGGCATGTGGAGCACTGTGTTTGCATTATCTGGGTTCTGCAGAAGGGAATTGGGCAACTTTTTGCTTGAAGCGCTTGGGGCATTGAAGGGTTCAAGGGCCTTATTCTTTCTGGGGAAGCTAAACTGCATTGCTTTCTAAAAAAAATGCGTTGCTGCTCAAAATGGAGCCAGGCTTTCAGAAACATTTTTGTGGTGGTATTTTATGTGCCTTCAATTTCAGCTGCACTGAAGAGAATGAAGGGAAATATCAACATGGACTTATGTGCTCATAGGGCTGTGTGCTAATTTTATAAAGAGAGAGACCAAGTATAAATAAAGAGGCCAACTAGGTGTCAGAGTATAAGCAAGTGACTTTTTCCAAGTCTTTCTTTAAAAGCATGCTTATGTTTTTAATAAATGAATT